CAAGGCATGAGAACTTGAGTGGCCACAGTCCTGGAGATGAGGATGGTATATGAAGTGAGCCCTACATTCATCTTGGCTTATAGCCTAAGGACATTTGTCTGTTCACTTCACTGGTATAGAGGCTAAGCAGAGAGTGCAGTGGAGGGGGATGATTGTTTTAGTTTTCCTGGACTAGCAAAACAAGTTGGAGCTTGGAGCTGCCAGTAAAGTCAGGACTTAATTGAGAGGAGAGAACTGCAAACAATGTGTCTGAAGTTATACATGCAGTTCTCCTGTGAGATGCTTGCTAACTCTTAGTCATCTGAAGCACAGAGCAAAAGTGTCATAAACCAAGTTGAAAGCAAGCAGGTAGGAAGCTAAAAAAGCTGATCAAAAATTTCATAGTCTTGTTCTGGAGAGACAGATGTTAGAATTCAAGGTCAGTCAATTGGAGGAATCTTGTAAACACTCCATGCTTGTATTTGAAACCCCAAAAAGGCTATCCCTTGGGAGTAAGAGAAATTCAAATGATACCAGCCCCCAAAAGGTCTAAAAGTGGTGCCCTTAAGTGGTGCATGGTGATTTTCAAGTTCATTTTCTGCCTACAGAAAAGAAAGGTGGCATTAAAGCTGCCATAATGTTCATAAACAGTGTCTATTATTCAATCAAGAATCACCAGGCATATCAGGAAACAAGATCAAATGACCAAAACTAGGAAATACAAAAAAGACAATTGAAACAGACCTATGGGAAAGCCTGGCTGGTAGTTCAGTTGGTTAGAGAGTCGTCCCGATATGCCAAGGTTGCGGGTTCAATCCCTGGTCAGGGCACATCAACCAATGAATGCATAAATAACTGGAACAACAAATTGATTTCTCTCTCTTTCAAATTAATAAATTAAAAAAAAACTTATGGGAGATGCAGATGATGGAATTTTAAGCAATTATAATAGATTCAAGAAAATAAAAATAAAAATATTGGGAGAACTGGAATATATACGAAAATGGAAAAATGCAGAATATTTATGTTTACTAAACACAACAGAACTTATACAGAAATTGATACTTGTTGAGTTATAATTCATCTCAATAAATTTCAAAGGATTAAAATCATAAACTGTTTTCTAACAACAGTGGAGTTAAGCTAGAATTAATAACAAAAGGATAACTAAAAAGGGTTAACTAGAAGGAATCAATTTGGTGGATGAAAGAAATTACAATTAAAATTAAAAAGTATTTGGAAAGTAATGATAATGAAAATACAGCATGTAAAAACTTATATTTAGAGGAAAATACATATACTTAAATAGGCTTTTATGTATTTTTTAAAAAATAATAAAGACTGAAAATCAGTGATGAAAGGTTTTATCTGAAACTGTTTTTAAAAAGTAATAAACTTAAGTTAGATGGGGAAAAAAGTGAAACATCTGTAACAAAAATAAATTAAAAAACAAGTTAGAAAGAAAGAAATAATGAAGAGCAAAAAGTCAAATAAATTGAAATAAATGTACTGTAGAAGAAAATCAACAAAACCAAAAGTTGGTGTTTTTAAAAGATTATTATAATTGATAAGCTTCTAGCAAGACTACTTAAGGAGGGAAAAAAAAAATAGATTATAAATACCAGTATCAGGCATGAAGAAGAGCCCAATACCACAGCTCCTACAGACATTAAAAATCCTAAAAGAAAATATTAATAACTTCACACTTATAAATTTGAAAATTTAGATGAAATAGGCATACTCTTTGAAAAAATACCACTTGTAAAAGCTAATACAGAAAGAAAACATCTGAATATTCTGATACCTGATAAAGAAATTGAATCTGTAGTTAAAATCTTCCCTTGCATCCCTGGCTGGTTTGGCCCAGCGATTGGAGTGACAGTCCTCAGACCAAAGAGTCACCGATTTGGTTCCAAGTCAGGGGCACATACCTGGGTTGTGGGTTTGATTCCTACCCACTGGTTAATGTGTCTCTCTCATGTCCATGTTTCTTCCTCTCTGTCTCTTTCTCCCTCCCTCCCTTCCACTCTATTGGAAAATCAATGGAAAAATGTCCTCAGATGAGGATTAACAACAACAAATCTTCCTTTGTAGGTTTATTTTTAAATTGAGCATACTTTTTCTTTTAGATTTGTATGAATTCTTTGTATTTTATGAATGAGTCTTTTGTCAAATACGTATATTTCAGATATCTTTGCCCACTCTATGATTTGTCCTTTCACTCTCTTAAATGATTACAGTTCATTCCCTGAAACAGGAAGAAAGGTAGAGTATAGGGGTGTTAATTCAATTCAGTTTGGTTGTGAGATGAGTTTCCTGTTTTCTAGTGGTGTCTGTTTTTTGTTTCCTCATATAGTAAAGCAGGCATAGTATTATAACTTCTTAACACAGTTCTTGGGAGGATTAAATATTTTAAATTGTATATAAAGCTCTTAAAACAGAGTGAAACATATATTACTGCATTCTTAAGAAGTGTTGACTACGCCATAAAAATATGAGTCTCAAAGAAGTGACCAGAGCAGGAAGCATTATACCTTTTAGACAAAAAACAAAACAAAAACATAAACGTGTGAAGAATTAACAAGGCAGAGAGGTTTGGGTTACGGGTAGTAAATGGTGAAGAAGTAATAAGGTTTGTTTACGTAGCCTTCTTGGCCCTATATTCTCCTACTCTGCTGATACGGATGCTTCCCTTTCCCCCGGTACAGGGAGGTTACCTTTCACATGGCAGACATCATCTCTTGCTTTGAGGGAACAAGGATGGGGGTGGGGGTAGATCAGAGTGACCTCATACTCCTGGAGCTTAAGGTTCATATTGTGAAATATCGTGTTCTGAACCCCATCATCTGTAAATTTGTAGAAAGCACTTCGGAAAAATGATTTGGCTTTATCCAATAAAGTTAAAGATACTCATTTTTTGACTCAGCATTTTTACTCCTTTGGGTTTATCTTAGGTTAATTAACCATCAGATTTCCCAGGATCATAGGACTTTATTTTTTTAAACAGTTGATGTACAGTATTTTGTTAGTTTCAGGTATACAACACAGGGATTTATGTAACTTATGAAGTGCTCACCCCCAATAAATCTAGTACCCATCTGGCACCATACATAGTTACTACAATGTTATTAATTATGTCTCCCGTGCTATCCTTTATACCCTGTGACTATTTTGTAGCTACCAATTTTTGTTGACTACTTATTATTTTTTTCCCCCACAAACCTTCAATGGAAAATATATTAATATTTGTGTCTCTGGGAAAATAAAACCTTCAGTGGTTCACCATTATCTAACAAGTAGTCTGAAATGTTAAACCTAGTTTCTCATTCCATGGCCCCAAAACCTTTAAAAATGGTCTGTTTATCTTATGTAATGGTAAAATTTCTTTTGTTAAAGAAAAGAAACTACTAAAATCATCACAGTTTAGTCTTGGCTCTTGTGGCTCAATTGGTTGGGCGTAGTCTGGTGCACCAAAAGGTTGTCAGGGCACATGCCCAGGTTGTGGGCTTGATCCCCAGAAGGAAGCATGCAGGAGACAGCTGATTGATGTTTTTCTCTCTCTCTCTCCCTTACTTTCTTTTTAAAATTCAATAAAATATATCACAATTTATTATTACAATATAACAGAGAATTCCACAAACATCCAAAGGATAGGAAAGTATAGGTGTAACCCAGTTTTGTATGGATTGAAATTAATAAATCAGGAAGCAGGACTTTCCCCACATTTCTTATCTAGTGATAGCACATGTCCTGTGTCTAACTTTCTCTGGAGAACAATTTTTCCCTGCTATTTCGGTGAAATCCTGGCCTTTTGATTCAAGCTACGTCTACTAATATGTGTGTCTTTTAAATAAAATTTCACGAATCTTGAGACTGGTGGTCAGGGGCTTGCCTCTTCCTTATTCTGTTCCATTTAGTCACAGTTAATTGTAGGTTCCCCTAGGCATACTAACCACACTATTATCATTCTTTATTTCCCAACAACTCTGCTGCTTCCAGCTTATTTTATCACTGTCTAGATTTGACTCCTTTTTTATCCTTCCTATCCAAGAGTTTGATGAATTTACTAGAGTTGGAGTCATTTCTAAAGAATATTGATTAGTGTCACCTTTATTCTCAACTGCCATTGCATTGTTTTGATTTTCTATCTAGTTGATTTTCCTGGACTTCCTGGAAATTTGTGAAAGACTTGTGTGAAAATGAAAGTACTTGAATTTTAAAATTCTAACTCAAATATAATCTCTTACACTCTTTCATTATAAACAAACAGTCCAGAAGAAATGCTTTGCATTATAAAAACAATTAATTGATGAGTCTCGACTATTGAATGATGTTACCCCTTTTCTGAGTAAAAGTAAATTATTCATATTTAGTCAGAATTGTGTTTCTGTGATTTTCTGCTAGATCATGTTTCTGGGATATTTTGTTGTGTGATTGTCCTTTGTGGTCTAAGTTTTCGGTAACAGTTTTTTTTAGAATGTTGTGGGGGTACTAAATTCAGAAACTCATGATTTGGATGCATGATAAGTAATGAAATATGATATGTAAGTTGTCGAAACATTCCCTCTGGAAGGATAGGTGAGACATTTTCTTAAACAAGTGGCATGAGAGTCATTTTAATTAAAGAGAATGGACTCTGCTCCTCATGTTTTTTAAGAGGATTCATTTTACTTAACATGTTGATTTAGGCATGGAAATAGGGTGTTGTCTTCTGATTACATTCTCTGATTCAAAAGAAGTCTCTAACCCAAGTAACTCAATATTAATGGTTTTGTTTCTTCATAGGATAGAAAGTTAATCTGACATGCTTAATACTAAACCTTCCGAGAAACAAAATATGTACTATGTATAATCAAAATATACCTATAATTACTTTAATTGTTTTAGTCTTTATCAAATGTATATTTTGAATGAGTTTTTCTTTACATATCACAATGATTATATTGTTGATGATGCATTGAGTAAAATAAGTTTTAATTTTCAATTTTTTTTTATATTTGATTCTTTTTTCTTCCTTTTAGTGTAGAGCCTGGATCAGAGTAGCACTCATGGAAAAACATTTATCTGAATACATCTCTACAGCTCTGAGAGACTTCAAAACAACCAGGTTTAAAGTCCTTTTAATTTTCAGATATATACTTAAAAGAGTCACCTAAAGACTTAGGCATAAGAATAGAATGAAGACTCATTTGTTTCTGAAGTCCTCGTTATTCCCTTCTTTACATACTACTCAGATAAATTCACTGTCTTCTCAGGAAACTGCAGTTTGTCAGTTAAACACACATCTACCTTTGTTTATCTTTATAGGTTTCACATTATGCCTGGTATATCCCTTTTCAAATTATTTCTAATTCTCACATTTTCAGCACTTGAACTTTTGTTCTTTGCACACACTTTTCCCTGAACAATTTGAAGAAAAATATACAAAATTCCTACAGCATTCTTTCTTTCCTCACTACAATCACTACAACATTTATTTCTTTCCTTATAAATAATATAAATGGATCATTCACTCCTTTAAGTCACATATATATTTATATATATTTATTTATTATAAATACATAATTCACATATATATTTATAATTAATGATTGCTTGATTGTCTTTTTAGGGCAGTCTGTGCCAATGTGGTTTTCTTGTGTTGTATACACTTAAGAGATGATATACTGTTCCACATGAAAAATAGGACTTTATTAATTTTTATGGTAGTAAAAATAGGGTTCATATTAGGACAAGAGTCATTCCTATCAAGCTCTGGTCTACTAATTTATGTTTATAGCTTTTGTTAAAGAAACCACTTTTTCCATTTCAAAATTATTTGTAAATAAAAATATTCAATAATTTCAATACTTTAGACATGTACTATTCAGTAAAGTAGCCACATGTAACTATGTAAATTAAAATGAAGATTAAATAAAATCACTAACTTAGTTCTTCAGTTGCTATATTTAACATTTCAGGTGTTCAATAGCTATGTGAGGCTAATGGCTACCAAATTAGCACAGATAATAGAACGTTGCTTCCTCATAGAAAGTTCTATCAGACACATTGCCTTAGACACTTTTAAATTGCCATACTTATTTCAACCTCATTAGCCACATTTCTGAAAGAAGAAAGAGTGACACTGTTTCAAACCAGTTTTAATGGAGAAAATTAATAAATAAATAAATCATATCTCTAGAATCTTCATTTTCATGTCCTGATACAGTATTTGATATTTTGGATTTGGAAAAGTCCAGATATTTATTATGAAATATTCTGTTAGCTAACTAGCTGGTACAAATGACAGTATCTTTACTTAGGTGTCTGTATGTTGTTAGGTAATAAAATTTTTCATTTGGAAGATAAATACTATCACAGTTATAAATTCAAACAGGATATAAAGAGCTTTAACTAAAAGAACTATTTGCATGATGTAAATCTCATATATACTTACTGAATTATTTAGTGCAATACTCCAATGCACTTTATGACATAAAACATTTGTTTTATTTATCATTACTGGTAAATATAATTATGGAAGATACTAAATATTGAGGTTACTAAAGCTTCCAAATAAAAATAGCATCAGAAAATTATAACTTAAAACAAAATCCTAAATTAATGAAATCAAAACCAAGCTTACACAGTAACCATCTCCTATGCAATAACAAGATTACATTAAAGTTATGATAGTCTTTTCTAAATAGAAATTAAAGCAATAATATCTCCAAGTTGTTAGTCTTTCTTCTTATTTTAGGCACTTGGGTGCGGTAGAAATAATTCTTAAATAGACTATTTTTAGAATGAGTTGTTTAAATATTTTAAAGGGAAATGCTTTTGCCTTATTCTTAGGTATTAGGTATTTTGTTTTGTTTATTAAAAGGAAATGATTCAGCTCTAAAAATGTTCTCGCAACAGTGTATAAACATATATTATTCAAACAGAAACATGGTTTAGTATATGTTTATACACATAAGCCAATACATACACTCACAGTATTTTAATGTAAATATAATGGCTCTGTAAGTCTCAAGAAAGGAACTAAGTAAGGAGTTATTTCAGATTTCTTACTTTAGAAGTTAGCTTTAAAAAAATGTAGTTGCAAAAATAGTGCCCCCCCTTTTTTAGCTTTTTACTTTTTTTTTTTTCTGAGATCAAACCAAAGAAATTTCTTAGTTATAAATAAATGTGATTGTGAGTGAACCTCTGGCCAAAGCATACCTATTTGGAAAGTTAGGTTTATAAAATACAAGCAAGCTGTTGGAAAGAATAGTTATATCTTACCTTTTGTCTGGATGCTTCCTGACATAAGTGTTGTAGAAATCACAAATGATATCTAATCCTTTAGAAATCCTGAGAGTATCTGAATTAGATAATTTCTTGTTCCACTCTTCACAGATAAAGAGTAATAACATGCTTTACAATGGTGATACAAGGTTTTACTCCAGTACAGAAGGAGGAGCTACATGAGCTAACACAGGCCAACTTGAAGTACTATTAATGAAAATCCAAGGATAATATTGGGTGTAAGAACTGTGGGGAACAGAAACACAGTAAATCCTCATTTTGAGGTAAATGATGATGGCTCTAAAGTATTAGAGAAATTTGTGTGATCTTTTTCCTAAGGTGGAGGATGTCTTGGTGAGCAATTAAAAAAAAAAAATCATTGAAGAGTTTCATGATATAGGGATTGAGATGTTATTGGATAATAGAGTTGGAAAATGAGCAGAGTAATATTAGAATCCAAGCTAAAAAAGAGACACTGGGAGGATTGTTGGGATTGTTTTAACAGGTTACTGGGAAGACCTAGAAATAGAGAAGTAAGGTAGAAGCTGAAATAATTTGCTCAGTTTTAATTTTCCCCCACCCACAGACTGAAAAATAATTAGAAAAGTTAAGCTAAAAAATACCAAATGTGACATTTGAAACAAGACTGAAAATATTCTGGTAATAATTTAAAGTAACAAATATGGAACATATAAAAAATATAAAATAGAGACAAATTAATTTTATTGGGACCTGCTTATTACTTTGTAATTGCACCACAGTGACTTAATTTATAATGACAACAGTTGTGTTCAGAAGAAATGTTAATTTTCTCAATATTAAAGTAGAAGTAAGAGGAGTAAAGTATAAAATAAAACTAAAAATTACCAATCTAGACTTCCTATCAAGGTGGTGGTGTAGGTAATAAATGTGGTACTTGCATCCTCCCACAACCATATAAAAATTACAACTAAACTACAGAACAATCATCATTAAGAACCACCTGAAATCTAGCTACATAGAAATCCTACAACTAGAAATTTAAAGAAGCAGCCACATGGAGACTGGTAGGAGGGATGGAGATGTGGACAGGCTGGTAAGAATCAGGAGGGATGTCTCCACTGCCGAGTTCCCCCTGAGGAGCGAGAGGTATCAGCCCCACACCAGGCCCCCGACACCAGGGTTCCAATGCTGGGAAGAGAAGTCCCCATAATTTCTGGCTGTAAAAACTAGTGAGGATTGAGGCTGAGAGAGACCGAGGGCCTCTGTAGTCCTAGGCCGTTCCTCTTAAAGGACTCGCACACAGACTTCCTTGAATTCATTCCCTCTGAGCTCCAGCACTGGGATAGCAGTTCGAAATGCACCAGGGAGGAACTGAATTGAGCTGAGGAGGCAGCTTTTTTCCAGACAAAAGTGCAGGCATAGGTCATTGTTCCTTTGATGAGCCCCCCAACCCACCACACACAGATCCAGCAGGTGGGCACCATATCTGAGTCTCCAACAACCTGGCTATCACTATTTGCCCCACCCTGGTGATTCCCCTAGACCCCACTGAACTTTCGGGCCCACCTAAGCTGTTTGCAGTGGCTTTTCATTACAAATGGTCTGTCTTGTCTCATGCTTCAGATTTTCCTAAAATCTCTCTAACAAGCAGGCAGCTTCTGGCCTCAGTGTGCTCCATACTTCTCACTAAGTGGCTCTAGGCCCAGAACTAGTAATAACCAGCTGTGGTTGTCCTCCCCTGGGCACCTCCAAGCCCAGCAGAAGTAGCAGCCTCTGCAGATCACTTTGTAGCTCAAGCCAAGTGGCCCTGATTACATAGGGAGCAGCTGACCTTGGCATGCATCTTCCAGGAGGCCCCAGAGCCAGAACACTCAGTGGACAGCTTTGGACCACGTTGAAGCACCACCCAAGTACTTCCACAGTGACATACTCAAGGGGCCAACTTAGTGGGCACCAGAACCCCACTGAAGTAAGTCCTGCTCTGTGGCACAGGCCCCTGCACAGCTGATCCTCCATGTAGTTGGTGATCACAGCCAGTCATTACAGCTGACTGGTCTGCGGGTAAATATCTCTCATTGATGTGCCAACAACAGTCAAAGCACAACCATAAGAGGAGGGTATACACAGACCGCATGGGAAGGGGGCCATGCCTGGAGTGCTCAGCCCAGGTGATCCGGAGGCTGTGCTACTGGTGGTTAGTGGCACAACCAGTACTTGTAGCTGATCAGCCTGAGTAAAACCCTCCCATTGACGTGCTAACAGCAATCAAGGCTCAATTACAACAAAAAGGTGGATAGTCCACATAAGGGGTGCACCTTAAGGGTACAACTGCGGTGATCAGGGAGGCTGTGTTACTGGACCCTATAGGGCACTACTATATAAGGTCATTCTATCAAGCCCAGCAGATTATCAGCTCTACCTAATACATAGAAACAAACACAGGGAGGCTGCCAAAATGAAGAGGCAAAGAAACACATCCCAAATAAAAGAACAGAACAAAACTCAAAAAAAAGAAAAAAAAAAGAAGAAGAACTAAATAAAATGGAGATAAGCAATCCAGATGCAGGGTTCAAAACACTGCTTATAAGGATGCTCAGTGAACTTTGGGGAAAAGTAGTTGAACTTAGGATTTCAACAGAATAAATAAGGACATGGACACTGTAAAACATGACATGGAAACCATAAAAAAGAACCTGTCAAAAAAGAACCTGTCAGAAATAAAGGGTACACTAACTGAAATGAAGGGTACACTAACTGTAATGAATAATAATTTCCAGAAAATCAAATCAATGATTTGGAATATAAGGAAGCAAAAAGTAACCAATCAGAACAGGAAAAAGAAAAAGGAATGAAAAA